AGGAGTATTCTAACCTCTTCGCCAGGACCAGCAATTCAGGAGATTTGAGTGAAAGTATAACCACTGTTAGAGATGACAGCTAGAGAATCTGGCTCATCCCTGGGTCTCAGTGAGTATGTGAAGATGAAGGGAGCAAGAAAGGAAAAGGTTAAATGAAAGCTAGTTTGTTACCTATGGAGTAGGCATTCCAGAGGGCACAGTGGAAGGCTTGGCAGTTTTAAAGTGGGATGCGGGTGGAATGTGTGAGAGGCTGTACTGTAGAAGACAGATTAAACTGGTTAAGATTTGGCCCCATGTGGCAGAACCAATAATAATAGTTGCAGAGGCAAACTTGGGCTGGATGTCAAGAAAAATGACTGGTGAGAGCTGCCCAGAAGTGGAGGAGGGGCTTGCTTTGGCAATGTGTCCCCTCTCCCTGGAGGTCTTCGAGCTGAGGCTGGAGAACTGCTTGTCAGGTGTGTTCTAGTGGGGATTTCTGGCATGGATCCAATTAGATTATTGCTCCCAGTCCCTTTCAGCTCTCAAATCCCCTAGTTCTCTGTGTGCATAAAAGTACCCAATACAGGGAGCGCATTTGATAGTATGTTCAGTATCCTGACCTAGTACTCCCCCACTACTCCGCCAAGAGGAAAGAGGGTGTGTTTCATTATTTCTTCACTGAGATCTTCATTGGTTTTTCCATTAATCAAAGGTTCAGCTTCCTTTTAGTAATCTTTTCATTTGCATTGACATATTCATGGTACATATTCAACCAGGCCATTTTCTTTTCTTAATTATAGTGTATGTATAAAAGGAAGTATTTACTTGGAAAGAATAAAGCTCTGGCACGTGTGGTGCAGGAGAAATAGAATTTCACTAATGTTCAGGCCTCTTCTGGTGGCTTCTGTTTCCCCCAACACCTGGTCTCAGAGCTAAATATCTTGTGTTTGTTTTCAGAGTCTCAGTGATTCAGTCCTTGTGTACTGGTGGGCACATATATATGGACCTCTGTGTGTACAAATAGGTGTCTATGTAAATGAGTGTGTACAGTTAAGGATATATGTCAGTTGAGTGACATATGAAATATGGGAAGGTTGTATGGAAAAAAATATGTATACGCAGGACTGTTTTATGAACAGGTGTATGTATGTGTATGCAAGAGGTTGGGGAATCTTGTCTTCTCTAGCCTATTTTGTTAATGGCTTCTAGTGTTGTTGGACCTTAGACTAGTGAGTTGAGGGGTAGACTAGAGAGGGGGTAGTGCCCTTCACAGACTCATAAGGGAACTCTTAAGAGTTATAAGATACAACCTCCTCATGTTACAGAGGAGGGAAACTGGGACTCAAGAGGGGGGTAATGACTTGTCCATGATCATACATACAGCAAGCTGGTGGAAGAGCCAGAATTAGAACCTAGGCATTCTGACTCTGGTATTTGTTCTTTTTCCATTTTACCATTCTCACCAGGATTCTTTGAGCGTCTCTGGGGTCTGAGAAGGGCTCCTTAGTAGTGATATTGTAGGGATCCCTATGTGAAGATTATGGTGGGAGCCCCACTGCTTATCACCACTCTCCCTACCTTGTAACCCAAGAGCCATGAAGAGTAGCACTTTGGAAATCATAAAGCACGATATGAATGTGAGCCATCACTTCCCTCTCTGGGGCTCCCTGCACTTTATGGCGTTCCACACTTCCCTGGCCTCATTCCACCTTTCCTCCATAGGCCATTGGACTTTAAGATGAGAGGGAAAGGGCGAACCAGGGTTTGAAGATAACAGCAGTTAGACGTGTGCATGTATAGACCTAGTTGTAGCATTCAAGTCTGGGAGTACCCACAGTGCTATGGTAATACTCAGGAGGTCTTTCCCACAGGCGCCATGTGTAGGGGCCACTAATGGCCCAAACCTAAATAGACCCACTTCACTTGACCCCCCATAATTACCAAAAAGACTTTGTGTGGCAGAGCTAATAGTCATGGGACCTGGAGCCCTGTAACTTACAGTGGCAGGCAGGACTCTGGGGTAGTTGCCTAAAGTTAGGCTTGTCTGGTAATACAGTAGGTCTCATTTGAAGCGAATCCGAGTATAACTGCTGATTAGAAAGTCAAATGCAGTTCTTCTGAGATCCTCTGGGTGAGCTCCAAGTACAAGGAATCTGATAGAGGTGTTTGTAATACTCCCAACAGAAGAGCCCATTCTCTTGCCCAATATGAACTGCCATTGACTTCCTCATGCCTGGTTGTCTGGAAAGCTCTCTGAGTGCCACCAAATTCCCAGCACATACCAGGGTCTTGCATATATTTAGTACTTCAGTTGTTTGCTGGATTGACCTATGAGACTAAGCTTCCAAAGTAGCCCTAACCCCTCCTGCCTCTTCATGCCCATTTCCCAAGTCTCACTGTCCCCATGAGGCACAGGGCGAGGCTGTCGTGCCACACTGAGTGGAGCTTCTTGACCGAGGCATTCCCCTGGTGCTGAGGCCTCCTGTGGCAGAGGACAAAGCAAGAAGGAGTCCTGCCTGCACACCAGTCCATCCAGCCCTTGGGACTGTGCGTGTTTCTCTGTGTCTTAGCCTCCCTTTTCTGTGTACTGCTTTTTTGTGTCTGTTGGTAAGAAGTTAACACTTCCTTAACAAGTCTTTGTGTTCATCTAATCTCTGCTGTTTAACCTTTGACACTTCCCTATTATCGTGTCTGCCACCTTTCCGAGGCCCAGCCCAGTGACCCTGTAGCCTCAGGCAGTGGCAAGGAAGAGCTGGGAAGAGCAGGGGAGGCCAGCATTTCACCCCTGCGGGCAGGCGGATGGATCGGCTTTCTCTAGGGCAGAGCTTTGGAAAATAAACTAAAGGTTTTGTGCCATTAGTGCCTCAAAGCTGGTGTGCTGAGGAAAGGAACATCCCTTGTTCCTCTCCTTTTGAACTGTCAGCCTTTAAGTAAACACACTTCCTCTCTCGTCCCTCCAGTCGGGTAAGGGAGAGCCCTGGGGAGAAGAAGGCCAGGGACCCTCCCCTGACCCAACCCGGATGGGGGGAGGGGAAAAGTAGAGCAATTGTAGCCAAATGTACCTGGTCATCAAGGCCTTTGAAGTGCTCCCATAGAGAGGCAGCTTCCCCACCCCCAGCCTGAATCCACATGCGCTCCCCACCCCCTCCACAGGTTTCTACCTGCAGAGTGCTCCTGAGGGCGTCTGGGAAAGCAACAAAGCACCTCTCCCCAGTACCTGTCCCTCCCTCCCCATCTCGGCATTCCAGGCTGAGCTTCCGGGCTTTGGCCGCCTGGGCAGGCCTACTGGGAAGGGGACCTTTAGATGCCCAGCCTGGTAGAGGTTAGGGTAGGTGACCACCAATGTGACCCCATTACCAGGAAGTGAGTTGAGGGTTTGGTGGACCAAATGAGATACCACAAATAAACACTTTGTATAGCTTTAATTGCTCTATATGCCTCCTTGCCGTTCTTTGAACAAGATACTCCATCGGCAGGCATTTTTCCTGGCCATCTTCCCCCGCCCCCAATATCTGGAATACTCTCCCTCGTTTCTGAAGCCTCCTGGCTTCTTTCAAGTCCCAGATGAAAATCCCACCTTCAAGAAGACTTTCCTCTGTTGATTATCTCCAATTTATCTTGTATGTATCTTGTTTGTACATAGGTTTTTTTTATGTTATCTCCTCCAGTGAGAGCAGGTTGTCTTTTATTTGCCTTTCTTTGTATCCCCAGTGCTTTGCACAGTGCCTGGCAGTCAGTGCTTAATAAATGCTTGTTGACTGAACTTATTAATAACAAGCACAAGACTAAGAAGGAGATCTGGTACTAGCTCTGGCTGTGCCATCTACTAGCTGTGTCACCTTGGGAAAATTTCTTTACACCCCCATCCCCACTTGTTTTCTATAAAATCACATCAATGGACTAGATGATCTCAAATGTCTGTTTTAGAGATGACTATTCTAATACTTTAGGTACAGTTCCATTACTCAGGGTGTGACCTTGGGTGAGTCACTAACTCTCAGAGAACCTCAATGTCCCCAGTTATCAATTAGCCTCCTCTGAGTGGTGCCCCTAGGTTAATTCTCCCAAACAATAATGAATAACCTAGTGACTGAGTAGACATATCTTATTCTTGCTGAGGGTTAGGCAGAATTATCTGAAGATTTATTTTTTGAGGGGAGTTAAGGCTTCAGGTAACAGGTTCCAGCAAGGGAGTCAAGGATCCCAAAGTGAGTTACAGGACCATTACACGTTGACCCCCAAAGGGGGGACCTTTGGCTGTGAAAATAATCATTTTGGAAATGGATAAGTTGTTTTATACTTGCTATTGCCTCTCTTGCTTTGTAGAATAGTAGGGTCAGATGTAGACCTGAGAGGCCCTGGAGTTAACACTATCAAAAGTTTGCTGCCAAGAATCCAAAGAGGAGTATGATGAAAATAGCACTTGATACTGACCTATTTGCACAATCTAATTACAGCCTCACAACCGGCCTTTTCCTAGGTATCATTTCTGAGTTACAGGTAGGCAATCTGAAGGCCCAGAGGGGCAGTGACTTAATTTGGCATTCAAGCCTAGACCTTTTGGCTCCCCGTCTAATGCTCTTTCTAGTACTAGAGACCTCTTACATGATGGCTGGGGGAGAAGAGAGGGAACAGTGATTTCCCAAGTAGGATGGGTTCTAAGGAACTGCAGCTATTATTTAAGATGGGGATTTGCTTGTTTGGGGACGGGGGAGTTTCAGATGTTGAACAGATTTGTAGCCTGTCCCTTTGAACTCCCCAAAGGACCCCATTAACTTGTGAGCTGCCCAATGTGGTTATGTCTCGAATGCCACAGTTACAGTCATTTGGCTGTGCCTGCTGCTACTACCTTTACCTTCTTTTTACCACTTTCCTTCCAGAAAGGACCACCCAGGCAAGAGCCTCCTGGCCACCACTCTTCCCTGATCTAAAGCTGGGTAGGGGCACAGCATACCCAAGGTCCAAAGTGGGCCATACTGTCTCTCTCACAAGGGCTTGGTTTCTGTGTCAACATCTAACAGGTACTACAAGAAATTCTCCATTCCTGACATGGACCGATACCAACTTCCCCTGAACAGCTCTGCATTGAACTTTGCCTATGCCAACTGCACCCTGATCATCACTGTAAGATCCACCTTCAATGTCCTTTATTCTCTCCCCCTTCTTTCCCTCACATAAAGAGCCCTGCTTCTTTTCTTATCTGGGGGTATAAGTAGGAGGTAGTTTGGGGGGGAGTATGGAATATTGTCTGTGGGACTGGGGGCACGTGTCCATCATCGTGGGGATGGGAAGCAACTGTGGGGTCATTATCTAGGAAGAGTAAAAGGGCTTTCACTCCTTGTCCTGATTTATCCCTCTCACCCCCCCAGTACCAAAAGCCAAAGGAGGTCCTAGATGCAGAGGAAGAGTTGCAGAGAGAGCTAAAGAAGGTGAAGACAGCCAATGGCCAGAATGGGGACTGTAAGACCCAGTAACCAGACCCACTTGTCTGCAGACTTCCTAGGTCTCTTGGGTCATTTCAACACAGGTTCCCGATGACCAGGCCTTGGCTTTGCCCTTACCTGAAGGAATACTTGATGGGTTTCAGGATTTATCACACAGATAGATAAAATTGACCCCTGGAGGCAGGCCCTGACCTAAAAATGGTTCCTCCCAGGTCATCTGGGTTTGCTAATTTCCTGAGTAAAGTTGATTTGAATTACCCTTACTCTCAGTGGAGCTTCTTTTCACAAAATCTCAGAGAGATCTCAGAGGCCATCTGGTCCAACCTGCACCAAGGATCTTTTAGGATCACAAGCATGAATCACCTTATCCTTCCCCAGTATGAGAGCTTCCAAGTAAGCCTCAGCTTCTGCCCTGGTCTAAGGTCCTTAGATGTAACGATGTACCACTGGGCAATAAATGCTCCCCGCCTCCATGGTTTCTGGGGCTGTGTAAATCTGTAAGAGAGGCCTGTGGATCATACCCTTCCTCTCCTATACCTCATCCCCACTTTAATCTTCTACTATTTCAGCACAGCCTGGCCTCCAGTAATCTTGGGTTAATTGAGGAGGAAGCCCGATGGTCAAGAATATGGGAACAATGAGGCGATATTCTTTCTGGATTTGGGACTTTCTGAATGTTTACATAGAATCAAGGTTGATGCTAGAGGGGAGGCCTGGTCAAGCTAGCCCAGCCTATCCAGTAGAGTTTATTTTATTTTATTTTTTGCTTTTAGGCAATTGGGGTTAAGTGACTTGCCCAGGGTCACACAGCTAGTAAGTGTTAATTAAGTGTTTGGTCTGAGGCCGGATTTGAACACAGGTCTTCCTGACTTCAGGGCTGGTGCTCTATCCACTGCACCACCTAGCTGCCCCTATCCAGTAGAGTTCAACAAGAAGCACATAGTTCTATGAGTGGGAACACACAGAGAAGGACTAAATATCCCTCAAGCCCATGGAGGACGTTGTTTAAGTCTGAGCAGTTGGAAATTCAGGTTAATGGGCAGAGTTGTAGTGTATGCTAGACCTACCCTCACCCCAAGCAAGGCAGGATGGGGATAGGTGATAACACAAGGCTTGTCTGTAGAATCACACAAAAAAAACACAAGTAGGCAGAAGCTACAGCTCCTAAAAAGGATATATAGAGAGAAGTGGAGAGGAGACAGGACAGTGGCTATAATATAATGTTCTATAAGAATGGAATCTTTCCAGCCCAGTGTCACTGAGGAAGTTCTAGGGGTCAAGGTGGGAAATGGTAGCTAAGAATTAGGACCTAAGACCAATTTTCTACCCCTAAAGCAAGCTGAATCTCCACCTGCAGTTCTTTCTACAGGTACTAAGAGAGTTGCCAAAATCCACATTAACAGCTAAGGTTTATTTAAAAAAATAAATTAAAAATATAATTTCCCATAGTACCCCACAAAACAGGGCCAGGCCAGAGAGACTGGCTCAGAAATCAAACCAGCTGAATCTCCAATGTCCTCTGTTTGCCTAGGGAGCTCAGGGCCTGAATGCTTTCCAAAAATGAGTCCTACTTTTCTTCCCTCCCCAGGGGCCTGGGCTTATTTTACCTATGCATGGTCCTAATTGCGGAGTTGAAGATTGATCCCGTCCAGCAGGAAGGATAGTTAGAGAAGGGTAGGTAGGCTACATGGGATGACAGGCCAGTTGGGAAAGCTATGAAGGTTTCTTATGTCTTTGCGGCTGGTCATGGGGGCTCAGTGCACATGTTGGAGTACTGATCCATCTGCCCCAAGGTCCTGCAAAGACAGAGTCCCCAGTCCAGACCCCACTCTCTTAGGTTAGCAGGCTCCAAAGTGGTTGGCTGGCTGGGTATGGACATAGGGAACAGCCCTTCTCCCAAATGGAAACATCGAGATTACCAAATGCCAATGGTCTTTGGTTTAAAAGCACAGAGTCTGATGATCACAGGGTCATTTGCTGCTCTCTTCAGGCAGGACTAGGGAGGCTGATCCTGAGTAGGCCTTCTGCCTGGTCCTGTGTGGGGAGGAGTCAGTTTACTGTCAAGGGCAGCCAGTCACGGAGTCTTGAAGTCAAGAACATGGAGGGCAGAGGCTACTGCTGCATAGAGGTGTGTAGTGCTGAAACGCAGGCAGTAAACAGGGCTGCTGGTTGGAGATGATAGCGAGAAGGCCTGCAGATACATGAGAAGGAGTGAGAGGTTACACAGGTAAAGGAGGGAGGGGAGATTAAGAACAGGTGCCAGGGCTGCTGACTCCCATCAAGTCTTGTATCCAAGGATCCCTAACCTTCCTCCCTGACAAGGAGTCGTGGCTGAGTCAGCCATGACTGTCTTGGGCATGGGCCCAAGGCAGAGAGTCAAGGAAGGCACAAAGAGATCCAGACTTCTATAAGTGATAGCAGGGATGAAATGGTAAGAGGGGTGAGATACTCACATGCAGGCAGCCTTTCTGGCGTCGGTCCCAGAGTCTTACCACACCATAGTAGGAAGAGCCACTGGCCAACATGTGGTTTCCATCACTCTGCACACAGTAGAGGGCGCTGTCATGAGGCTCCTCCCACTCCATCACACATTTCCTTTCCAAAAAAGGAACACAGGATGGTCAACAGCACCCCATCACCAAAATCCACTAATGGACACAGCACCAAGGAATTCTAGTGCTTTTATATCAAAGAGATAATGATGGGCCTGTAGATTATTACTGGCATAGGAGAAGGCAGAAGCCTGAACTTCCATGTATTTAACAGAAATAGCCTACTGGAGGAATAGAAATGTTATTTCTACCAAGGTTAATTGTGTCTGACCCCAGAGTTTTTTGAGGGTGAAAACAGAAATGTGGATGAAGAGGACTTAGGGGAGGAGTCTTGCTAGGAGTCCACTGCGAAATCTCTAAGCCTGCAGACAAAACATAATTCTTCAGGGTAATAGAAAGTCAAGATGATGGGAAAGCTATTTAAGGGCTATGTGAATGATCAGAAAGTGGCAGGGGCCGGCGAGCCATGTAGAAAAGTACAGTGTCATCCATATAGGGACTGAAGAGCTCTAAGCTAGGATCCAAGAAAAGCACTTAGGAGCCACTGGACAAGTTTGTCCTGTGGGTGGCTATGGCCACAAAGGCCAACACGAGATATGGACAGCAGTGCCCCACACATGCTCCCAACCTAGGTCTCTGTCCACACCTAGACCCAATGCACAGGATGTAATGGAACTGGAAAAAGCCCAAAGACAAACACCTAGAATGACTCAAGGAGGAGGAGGCAAGAAGAGACTGCTGAGAATAAACTGAAAGGACAATGACTTCAGTCTGTAAAGAAGAAGGCTGAGAGGACAGGATCAAAATCTGTAAAATGATAAACACTGAGTGAGAATGAGTGTGTGTGTGTGTGCATGTGTGTAACCACCAAATCCCAAAACTCTAGGATGAGTTATCTGCTTTGAAGCCTGAGAATGTTAAGTTTAAAGCAAATTAAAGGAAGACCTAATTCACCCAGAGGGCTCATTACCTCTAAGAGATATATTACAGGCAGGAAATACACATGGATCCAAGTGAGTTTTTAAAAAAATGACCAATTACAGAGCCAGTAATGTTTGCTAAAAGGAGCTGGGAATGTGCCTGACCTTTAAGGCAGACAATACAGTTCCCCATGGCATTACCCTTGGGGCTTATGTTGGCAGCAGAATCCTGGGCCTGACACGGAGTGACACTGAGGTGCCTATAAGTGGTGACCCCAACCCCCTAGTGAAACTCTTAAGCCTCCCCCACAATGGCTAAAACAACTTAAAGCTTTGTGTTCTTTAGCCCCAGCTATAATTATAAGGAGAGCCGGGGGGGGGGGGAGAGAAAGCCAGGAATGAGATAGGGCAAGAGCTGTCCAGACCTCCCTCCTGATCCCACCGTTCTGGGTGGCTGGACTCACTGGGAGCTGGTTCGGATATCCCAGTATCGGATATAAGTGTCATAGCCACAGGACAGCAGCGTAGAGGGTGTCTCATACAGGACATCCAGCACTCCAGCCCCTCGGTGAAAGTCCCGGCCCAAGTGTGTCATCAGTTGCCCGCTGAGGAGACAGGAAAAGAGAGATGAGAGGGGAGCATGTCCAGGGTTCAGAAGGCACTCCTGTGAGGCATCATCACCTTGTCTTCCTCTGGGGATACTGTACAACCTTCAAATGACTGGTAACCACAAAAACCCTCTCCTCTTAGAGCCTATACTTTGAGGTGAGGGTGCTGTACCTTTCCCTGTGGGTCCCCCTAGAAGAAACAATACAAACACTTAGCTGGTCTGGGTAGGATGGTGACTTTACCTCATCCCAAACCCATCTCTCTGCCACAATGACTTCCTGCTATTCCTACACCTGTACCGGGGGGCCAGAGGATATTGGTTAGAAAACTCAGCCCTAGCCTTCCTTTTTCCTTTGCTCCAGGCTTTCTCACAACCCCCTAGAAAAGTGCTCAAATGCATCAGGAGGTTCAGCCTATCCAGTCACACCTGCTCGCCTGGCCGCCTGCTGCCCAGGCTGACTCCATCTCAGGACAATGAATGGGCTGTGCCAGAGAGGTCAGGATCTCCCCCCACACATGTGGTTATTTTATAGTCCTTGATCCCATGGGTCACAACAGCTCTGAGCTGCCCAAGCCCAATGCCTTAATTCCTCCCTGTAATCTGGGGCTCAAACCTCGTCGGGGATAAAGACCACACAAAGGGAAAAGGGGAGTTTCAGGAGATGGTAAAACAAGTAAACACCTTTGTATCTGGGGAGAGAAATCGCTGAGAAAACAGCTTAGCAGCAGGGCCCTGTCATTCCCAGCTCAGAAGGCAAAAGCCCCCCAGCCCCAGCCCTGGCCCTGGCCTGGCCCCCATCTTTCTCTCTGCAACAGCACGCCTCTGTGATCACAGCTCCTGGCCTGCTGGGCCCAGCCCGCTCCCCCACCCCTGCTCTCCAGAGAGCAGATTACAGGGAATAACAATTTCTTTGTGGCTGTGTAATTCCCTCCGTGACCGCGGCAGTGGGCAGCCACCTAGCCCCTGATGCCAGACCCCTAGCAACCATTTAGGGAGGCCTCCTGGTCCTAACAACGCCCCCCAACATCAAGTGCACCTGTTAATCCCTCCCACCCTGGGTTAGGTTGGGCCGCCAGGATATTGGGTTTTGTATTTTTGCAGGACAGAAAAGGAAGAGTTAAGTATTGAAGGCTCCCAACTCCAAAAAGTCTCCAGGCCTGACCCATTAACTACTTCAGGGA